TTTTCCCTAATGTATACTTTATTGTATGCGTCTATATTAATTAATCTCTAATTGATTTACTTTTTTGGAATATCAGTCAAACGTGTGTCACATTTTTAAAGTCACTTGCTAAGCTTGTAAAGCAATTGAAATTTATGAATCACTTGCTGAGCCAGTGAAGAAATTTAAAATCATTGTTTGTTTTTCTTTTTGGTTTAACGGTCAGAAATGCCCGGATCAATTTACACGCACAATAAGTAATTCTTTGTTCGATCCGGTAAAGGCTGAAGATGCTCTAACATGTCTAAAATTTGAGGTTGTTAAAAAAAATGTAATATAAATATTTGTATACTTCACAAATACACACACAAACTCCACATATATATAAAGATGAAGAATTTGCAGCCCTGGGGTACATCTAAACTTGTTAGGCACAAGGCTCAGTTTGATTTAAGTTGTACGTGCAATGTACAAAGCACAGTGTAATATAAGCTATCAGTTTTGAGCTTACTTGTTCCTAGGACAGAAGAACCAGACTTTCATGGTTAAAGTAAAAATATAAAACAAGTTAAAGTATATGATGAGGCCTCTTCTCTGTCTGCACTTTTTATCCGAATGAACACTTTATTATATGTCTATATTAATCTCTATCATTGGTCATTGCTTTATACCATGAACTTATTCAAGATCTAGGTTTCCTCAGACTATGGAACAACATTATCCATATAACCCAAAGGCTAAATTGATTTTTTTTTTCTTGGAATATGAATCCAACGTGAGACACATGTTTAAAGTCACTGGCTAAGCTGTAGAAGGAAAAAGAAAAGCATCCTAGAAACTTGGAATTTGAGGAAACTGTGTCTACATCTTTGTCGCAAGAGACACAAGATTTACGTTGCAATCAAATAATGTGATGTCGACATGACAACATAATCTTTGTAAGTTGTCATCTTCATGTATCTATATATATAACTTTTGAGCTGGAAGCGTAGAGTTAGTAAAGGCAGACCATTAGAGGTGTCAGAGTCAGTTTATTCACCTCAATTAATCTTCACTTTGGTTTGATCAATTTATATCGGAATTAGGATATTCATGAAAATTAAATCTATTATGACCCGACGTTTTTTAAAATCATTGTTATTCTTGAATGTAAGAATTGTAAAGCATGAGTTGCGACTTGCATAACAATCCTTTTTTGTTTTTTTGAACATATAATTGATCTGTTATAATTGGCAATTTCAAGCTGGTGCATTTGCTAACTATTTTACTTGATCTGTGTTCATCACACAACGCAGTCAATAGGTCTTATTTTTCCTCCAAAAAATATATTAAATCCTATCATACTTATTTTAGGACAATTAAGTCTTATTTTTTATAATTTATTCGTAAGAAGTCCTAAATTTCATCAATAGTATGTTTTATTTCAATTTTACCTTTTCCATCGACACACCAATTATATTTTTATCAATAATAATATGTTATTAGTGCCCCAAAGCAAATTAATTTTTTTTAAATAGTGTATATATAACACCAGAAACACTTAATTAACAATGGCGACTTATAAAAATGATAAATTATACAACTCTATCTTTTTAGGTATATGAATTTCGACTTACGTAATTATCAAATCTGAACAATAAAGACATACAAAAACTAATTTTTAATACCGTCATTGCGAAAAGTTCATCAAATTACACTCTTTTTACTTCTCCTTTCACATATTGAATTAATTAGAAAAAAAATTACTATTTTAAGACATACAAAAAAAAATCAAGCATTTGAAGTTACGACATTGTATTTAAGAGATAAAATAAAAAAATATTTATGTATATTATGACTTTTATATTATGTAGGATTCACTCCATATGAACTATTACATGTCAATAGAGTGGGAGCTTTGATAATAAAGGTATAACTTACTATGATTTTAATTAAAGATACAAAATAAAACTCCAATAAATGAAATTAAATACAAAATTACAAACAAAAATATAATTTGTGTTCATGAGAAGGATAAAATTGGAAGAAAATAAAGCATTAATGGAGTTTAGGACTTCTTATGAATAAACACTTAAAAGTTGGACTTAATTGTCTTAAGGTAAATAGGATAGGATAGGATTTAATTTTTTTTGGAGAATGACAGGACTTATTAATGATTTTTCCTATAAAAATTTAAGTATTTAGAGAGAATGTTTCATCAATCTTTGTATACATCAAGTACTCCTCATGTGCAGCTATATTTTGGCTTAATTATAATATTAAATTAACTCATTACCATTATTTTAACTTTCACTCAAAATTGAGTAAAAAACTTGATTTTATATAAAAACGCTCTAAAGGAGAAATTCAAAATTAAAATAGGGCAAACCCTAATTTAATGGAAGACAAATTCATATTTAAAGAAAAATAAAATATGATCATTACATCTTTAAAACATAATAAAATTTAATCATTGGTGATTTGAGTAATGATTGAGTCTCTCTTAATTTGAATAAAAATTAGGTTCTTCCTTAATTTGGTATGGGTTTGTATATAACAATGAAAAAGATTTTTAGTAATTTTTATCCAAATTTAAATATAAATTCAAAAGGAGTAAAGACCGGAGATCTCTAACACGTCTAAAATTTTAAGTTGTTAAAAAAAGTGTAACACAAATATTCATATACTTGACAAACACGTACACACTCACATACATATAAAGATGAAGAATTTGCAGCCCCATGTTACCGCGAAACTTGTTAGGCACAAGGCTCAGTGTGAGTTAAGTTGTACGTGTTATGCACAAAGCACAGTGTAATGTAAGTTATTTTGAGCTTACTTGTTCCTGGTACAAAGAAACCATACTTCCTTGGTTAAAGTAAAAATATAAAACAAATTTAGTATATGATGCCTCTACTCTCTGTGCACTTTTTATACGAATGAACACTTTATTATATGCCTACCATTGATCTTCTTTAAAACATGAACCTATTCAAGATCTAGGTTTCCTCAGACTATGGAACAACATTATCCATATAACCCAAAGGGTAATTGATTTATTTATTTTCTATGGGAATATGAATCCAATGTGAGACACATGTTTAAAGCCACTTTCTAAGCTGTAGAAGGAAAAAAGAAAAGCATCCTAGAAACATGAAATTTGAAGAAATTGTGTTTGCACCTTTATTGCAGGACACAAAATATTTACGTTAAAATCAAATTATCTGATGTTGACATGACATCATAATTTTTGTAAGTTGTCGTGTTAAAAAAAAAAAAGACATGCTTAGTACACGAGATCGTTATTGTAGAATCTAAGCCTAATTAGATGTACAAAATTTTACCTCTAACATGCATTTTCTATTATCTATATATATAACCTTTGAGGTGGAAGCTGTAGAGCTAGCAAACTAAAAAACCTGGAGAGCAAGCTGCCAAGCATAGAGAAAAATGAGTTGTTGGCTTGATACTGACGATGAACTCGAAATCATCGACAGTACTTCCGTAGAGATGAACCTCCTCAAGAGGAAGAAGCCTGAGGAGCAAGAAGATAGAAAAATGAGCTGGGTGGTTGAGGTTGACGATAAACTCGAAATGATGGGCAATGCTTCTTCAAGTTCATCCCCCAAGAAACACTCTATCTACAGAGTACCACCCTTCATTGCACGCCAAAACAAGAAGGTCTACAGTCCTCAAACAGTGTCATTTGGCCCTTACCATCACGGTAAGGTTCATTTGAAACCAATGGAGTATCACAAGGAGCGTTCTCTTCTTCATTTTCTTCAGAGAACTAAAGTTCCTCTCAAAATCATCTTCGATTCCTTCGCCCAAGTGGAAAAAGAGTTGAAAGATTCATATGATTCACTTGATTCTAAGTGGCAAACTGACAACGAAGGCTTCTTGAAGCTGATGATTGTTGATGGCTGTTTCATGCTGGAAATTTTCCGGGCAGTCACTAAAACTCCGGCCGATTATGACGCCGACGATCCGATTTTCGGAAATCACGGAAGGTCTATATGATGCCGTTTATCAAGCGGGACATGTTGGTGCTGGAAAATCAACTGCCCATGCTTGTTCTTGACAAGCTTCTAGATATCAGTGGTAAAAAGGTAAATCCAATTTTTTTTTAAAATACATGGGTTTTAATAGGGTAATAGTAATATGATGGGGATGTTAATAATGCCGTTGATATAAAAAATCTCACTTAATTTATTGATTAAATAATAGAATTTTATCACTTGACATACTATTAGGTAAAAAAAATTATTAAATAATATTGTCGCATTATCAGTTATTTATTGAGTGAATTACACTTAAATTTCTTGAATTATACCTCTCGTGCTACAGTTCTTTTAAACTATTTATTTTTTCATATTGTGTCTTGAATTATTGACTAACATATTTAGGAAATACAGCATCTCCTAAAATCAATTTTTTTAACCCATTAAACACACCATATTGAAAGAAGATCAATGGACTACATCAAATATTTTTTTTTGTGGAAAATAGTTAATGAAATTTTTGTTTTTCAAGCGTATACTATCATTATACTTCCATGTGCTCATGATTAAGATTTATTTTTCTTTAGTTAAATAAAATTAGTTAAAAAAATAGGCGACATGGATCTCAAAATATATCACGTAATAATGTGAACCCAGAAGAACACAATAAGCACAACAAAATAAGTTTGATCTAATTATATAACAATGATATAGTCTAATAAAATTATTATAATTATAATTATTGATAATGTAATGATGACCAAATTATGTAATTTATTATAATTATAGTTATAATTATTGATAATATAATGATGACTTAATTATATAATGTTATTGTAACCGTTAAATTAACATTTAAGTTTTAATATTTGATAAAATTTCCAACAGAAATAACACATTAGGTTAATTTAATCCAAATATCATTCCTCAATTAACATTACCCTCAATTCATGTAGGAAGATGAGGAGTCCATCAACAACCTGATACTCGATTTCTGTTGTTCCGAGACTCGTGACAAATATTCACCAAAATGGGGACAATGCTTGCACGTACTTGATATATTTCGGAAATGCCGACTAGGTAAAGACCCCGGCTCCGGCTCCGGCACCGGCACCGGCTCCGGCTCCGGCTCCGACAGAAAATATTGTTGCACAAAGCCGAGAAAAGACAATGCGAAACTAATCACGCGCTCGGCAACGGAGCTGTTCGAAGCCGGTGTCCGATTCGAGAATAAAGAAAGCGACAGCCTTAACGGCATCTCATTCAAAAAAGGAGTCCTGAAACTCCCCTCCTTCGTCATCGACGATACAACTGAATCGACGTTTCTGAACATGATCGCTTTTGAACGGTGTCATGTCGGCGCCGGAAACGAGGTGACGTCATTCATCTGGTTCATGGACAACCTCATTGACACCGCCGCTGACGTCAGGCTCCTGCAGTCCAAAAAGATCGTCCATAATTTCATCGGAAGTGACAAAGGTGCGGCCAATCTGTTCAACACCATCTCGAAGGAGTTGACGATCGATCAGAAGAGTGGGCTGGGCTCTGTGCATTCGCAGGTCAAGGAATACTGCGAGCAGAAGTGGCATAGGTGGCGCGCCAATCTCTGTCATACCTACTTCACGAATCCATGGACTCTAATTTCCGTCATCGCCGCCGGCGTTCTTTTCGGTCTCACTATATCTCAGACTGCATTCAGTGCTTTGCAATACTACCAGAGTCCGAGTCCGACTCCGAGTCCAATTCCGGGTCAGCATCACTAGGGAACTTCCTCTCCTCCGTGAACCGGGTGAGGCTACTACTTAATTATCAATAATGTTACTAATATTTCAATTAAGCATTTTATTTGAGAACTTAATATATTATATAATTATTGGATTGTTATTGAATTTAATTTAATGTCCAAATTCACTATTGAATCCATAGCTACAATACATTAAATCCTCCCATCAAATCTAACTTATATTAACTATTTTACCCTTTTGTTCCCCCATGGAGGATTTGGATAAATTAGCCTCCGACAAGATATATCAACATAATGACTATTTTACCCTTTTTCTCCAACATGATCGATATTAATTAATTGTATGAGAAAAAAAAGAGAGTACAGATTAGGGAGAAAAAATAATGTTGAAAAAAGGAATAGATACCTAACTTTAAGTTGTTACTTTAGCCATGAAAGTATAGTTCTTTTAGCACCTAATTATTCATTTGAATTATACTGAAATAAAAAATATACTAAAGAACCATTTTTTCATGAAAAAAAGTAACAATATAAAACAAGTATATGATGCCCCGTCAATTTACATGCATTTCGATTAATCTTTTTTCCGATTCGATAATGGCCGAAAATGCTCTAACACATTTAAAATTTGAAATTGTTAAACAAAGTGTAATATAAATATTTATATACTTCACAAACACACACACTCTCACATATATATAAAGATGAAGAATTTGCAGCCCTGGGGTACAGCTAAACTTGTTAGGCACAAGGCTCTATTTGATTTAAGTTCTACGTGTTATGCACAAAGCACCATGTAATATATAAGCTGATGATGCACAAATTTAGTTTGTACACTACTTGTTAGATGAGCAGTAATAAATGCAATAATTAATAAGTAAGAAATAGAGAATACAAGGTTTATAGTGATTCGGTCAACGTGATTTACGTTCATTTTGAATGGCTAGGGTCACCGGGTATTTTATTACTTCAAGTGTGAAGGGAGAGCAGAGAGTTACAAACTTTGAGAGGTAGATGAGAGTTATGCTTAACAGAGTGTGATGCCCCCCAAGTGTTGGTGGGACTTACAATTTATAGTCGCCTCATAACAGATTTGAGCGAGTTATTAATAATTAAGAAGTTAATCTGGTGGAGTTGACGACCTCTTCTCAACGGATGAGGTAGTTACGACGCTCTCTATAAGATTCAGTCAAAGGATGAGGTGGTGGTTGACTTCTTCCAAGGCAGCATGAATGAGGCTCTTGGAATGACCCTTACTTCAAGGTAGATAGGAGAAAAATCTTGAATGACCCTTACTCTAAGGTGGCTAGGAGAAAGCTGTTGGATAACCCTTACCCTAAGGTAGCTAGGAGGAGGTTCTTGGATAACTCTTACTCTAAGGCGGTTAGGAGGAGTCTCTTGGATGACACCTACACCAAGGTAGCTAGGAGGAGACTCTTGAATGACTCTTACTCCAAGGAGGGGGGGGGGGGCTAGGTGGAGGCTCTTGGATGACCCTTACATGTTCCTCTACTGATGTAGCTCCTCAAAAACTTATAATGCACAAATTGAGTTTATACCCCACCTATTAGATGAGCAGTAATAAATGCAGTAATTAATAAGTGAGATATAGATAAGATAAGATTTATAGTGGTTCGATCAACGTGACCTATCTCCACTTTGAATTGCTAAGGTCGCCAGGTATTTTATTACTTCAAGTGTGTAAGGAGAGCAGAGTTACAATCTTTGAGAAGAAGAGCAGATTTGTGTTCAACAGAGTGTGATGCCTCCCAAGTGTTGGTGGGACTTATAATTTATAGTGACCTAATAACAGATTTGAGTGAGTTATTAGTAACTAAGTAGCTAATTTGGTGGAGTTGACTATCTCTTCTCAACAGATGAGGTAGTTACGGTGCTCTTCATAAGATTCGGTAAAAGAATGAGGTGGTGATTGACTTCTTCCAAATCCGCGTGGATGAGATTCTTGGGATGACCCTTATTTCAAGGTGGGTAGTAGGAGACTCTTGAATGACCCTTATTCCAATGTGGCTAGAAAGAGACTCTTAAATGACCTTTACTTCAAAGTGGCTAGGAGGAGACTCTTGGATGACCTTTATTTCAAGGTGGTTGGAAAGATACTTTTAGATGACCCTTGCATACTCTTGTGTTGATGTAGCTCCTCAAACCTGATCAACTTGACCGGGTGTGAATCACTTTAAACGTTGAATCCCTTAGAATTGAACTCTTAAATTAAATTGAATTTAAATTGTAGGCTTGGCCTTGGGTTTGACCCATCATAAACTGCCGGTTTTGACCTTGCCTGTTCCTGATACAGAAGAACTAGACTTTCGTGGTTAAAGTAAAGATATAAAACAAGTACACTACGTGATGATGCCTCTTCTGTCTGCACTTTTTATCCGAATGAACACTTTATTATATGTCTATATTATATTAATCTCTATCATTGGCCATTGCTGTATACCATGAACCTATTCAAGATCTAGGTTTCGTCAGACTATGGAACAACATTATCCATATATACCAAAGGCTAAATTGAATTTTTTTTTTCATGGAATATGAATCCAACGTGAGACACATGTTTAAAGTCACTTGCAAAGCTGTAGAAGGAAAAAGAAAAGCATCCTAGAAACTTGGAATTTGAGGAAACTGTGTCTACATCTTGTCACAAGAGACACAAGACTTCCGTTGAAATCAAATAATGTGATGTCAACATGATGCATAACCTTTGTAAGTTGTCATCTTCAACTATCTATATATATAACCTTTGAGCTGGAAGCTGTAGAGTTAGCAAAGGCAGGCCATTAGGGTGTTCGAATCGGCTTATGTACCTCGATTAATTCGTTCTTCAATCTGGTCAAAAATAGACTATCTATATTGAGGTTAGATTATTCATGAGAATTAAATTTTGTATGATTAATCTTTTTGAAAATCATTGTTATTCTTGAACATATAATTGCGAACATATAATTCTTGAACATAACAATCTTTTTTTATTTTTCGACCATATAATTGATATGTTATAATTGACAATCTCAAGCCGATGCATTTGCTAACTATTTTATTTTTCCATCGACACATTAATTTTATCTTTCCCATCGACACATTAATTATATTTTTTTCAATAATAATATGTTATTAGTTTCCCAAAACAAATTAATATTTTTTAATTAGCGTATATATAACACCCGAAACATGTAATTCACAATGACGACATATAAAAATGATAAATCATACAACTCTATCATTTCTTATATTTAACTTTTTAAGTATATGAATTTTGACTTACGTGATTATAAAATCTGAACAATAAAGGCACACAAAAACAAATTTATGAATACAGTCATTGAGAAAAGTTCATCTAATTACACTTTTTCTACTTCTCCTTTCACATTTTGAATTAATTAGAAAAAAATTTACTGTTTTAAGGCATACAAAAAAAAATCAAGCAATCGAAGCTACGACATTGTATTTAACAGATAAAATAAAAAATATTTATGTATTTCATAACTTCTATCTTATGTAGGATTCACTCGCATATGAACTCTTACATGTCAATAGGGTTGATGCTTTGATAATAAAGGTATAACTTACTTTGATTTTAATTAAAGATACAAAAATAAAATTCCAACAAATGAAATTAAATATAAAACTACAAATAAAAATGCAATTTGTGTGATTGTGGAAATGATAAAATTGGAACAAAATAAAGCATTAATGGAGTTTAGGACTTCTTGTGAATAATTTACAAAAAGTATGACTTAAATTGTTTTAAGGTAAATAGAATAGGGCTTAATTGTTCTTTGGGAGAAAAAACATTAATAATTTTTCCTTTAAAAATTGAGTAATACAATTTGAATCTAAAAATTTAACTTAATTTTTTGACATAATGATGTGACTTCAGTGGAACTATTAGATCAACATCAAATTCCAATGTTTGATGGAGCCCATAGACAATTCAAAGGTCATAGTAAGTTAGGTCAGTAAATTAGGTCTCAATAACATTGCTCTTAAAAATTTTAGTATTTAGAGAGTGTTTCATCAATCTTTATATATACATCAAGTGCTCCTCAGGTGTGGCTATATTTTTGACCCTATTATAATATTAAATTAAATTATTAAGAGTATTTTCAACTTTGACTCAAATTTAAAATTTGATTTGATGCAAATCGTTCTAATTGAAAAACTCAATATTAAAAGAAGACAAACTCAAATTTAAATGAGGATAAAATATAATAATTAAAATTTTAAAATATAATGAAATCTAATTATTCCTAATGAATACTATAATTCCTGCATGAATGACATATCTTTGACCAGATCAGAGATAAGATTAGTCGATGTACGAATAAGTTGACTTATACATCTTTGACCGTTGAACACAAAACAAAAGAAATTATTATTATGTTTAATTTGAAAGTCTAATGCATTAGAACTATTCAATTGGTAATGGACCCTTATAATTGGGACCTAGTTAATTAATACAACTTTGATACAACATTAGGTTTCTTATTTAGATTGTAAATGAGGTCCAATAGCAATGCTCTCTCGGAGTTGTGTCATAATCACAGGAGTGTTGGTGTCTTCTAGTTTCTATATAACATGTCTAAAATTTTAAGTTGTTAAAAAAAGTGTAGCATAAAAAGTGCACCAGATGAGTTTTTATTCCAGTACAGGTGAAACGACCTTGTGGTGTATTTGTTGTTTGTGGTATTTCAAATATAGTAAAATCACTTATTGAAAATTTAATTTAAAACATGTAATGTATAACAAAATAGTAACGAGATAGAGCGAAATAGTTACACAGAATACAGAAACAATTAAAGAAGAATTAACGAAACAATTACAGTAGTTTTACCGAAACAGTTACACGTAACTGTTTGTCAAACAAATATAAATACTAACCTGTTTGTATAATAGAATTTGAAGTAGATCAAGGCTAGTGTTTGACATTCTGTCTTTAAGACAGATTTTGCCCCCACACACGGTATTTATGGAATATAAAACGTATGTCTCTCAAGATATAATGATTTTTACAAAAGTAAAAGTAGCACTCTAATTTACTTGTCTAGCGAACCAGAAACTATATTGTGTACTCTCCAAAATGCAGACTGTCTTAATGCCAAAATACAATGTAATAATGTCTGTCTTAATACCGAAAATGAACTGATGAATGAATAAAAATAGAATGGTAATGAGCCTGAGAATTTATGGACACTTTGGTGACTTTTTGGACAGCCACCATACTAAAATACACAACCCAGAAGACAAATGCAACAACCAGTAGACACCACTTGTGTAATTGTTTTGTACGAACAAACACAACTCAATTTTCGGACTAGAGGGAAACAAAAATTCGAACCAGTGCAATCCAATGGATACCAAAATTTAATTTCGAGTTAAGAAATTCACGCCCAATTAATTAAACGAATTTTCTCCAAAAAGATAAGGTTGGACCCACACCCGGCCGGGTCTAGTCGTGGCGGGCAGGCGGTGCACGTGTGTGGTAGAATTGAAGGCATGTAGGTGCTCATTCCACTCATAAAACTGTGGTACTCCTTAAGACCCAATCTCATAGAGCAAACTTGGTTTTTATATACCCATGTATAATTTCTTCCTCAACTAATGTGAAATTGATGTCAAATTCCACATTGCACACTTTTATTTTCACATTTCAAGATGGTCACTTTAGAACCTATTTTCTCATTCATTTCTTACTCAATTTGAGCAAGTGAATATACTACATTATTCTCCTCACAAAGTAAAATATGAACCCAAGAAAGTTTACTCGAAAAAACGATCGGTTCCCATTTTAATTTAAGTTCAAAGTCGACCAAAAGTTCAATTTTTACACTTAAGAAACTATTTTGTGTAACTATTTTGGTCCAACAGTATTGTTATATGGCAATGGAGTTTATTTCGCGGTATGACCAAGCCTTGGATTCTGGTCAAGGTGCTCTCCAGAAAAGTGCACCAGAACGTGGGGTTCCTTCAAGATCTAGATCTTTTAAGGTTAACTTTGATGGGGGAGTGTTTGACAGAGAGGGTGTTATTGGGGCTAAGGGAGGTTATTCGAGATGAAGTTGAGTCGTTCGTTGCTAGATTGTCTAAGAAGTTAATTGGTTTAGGAGAAGCGTAAACTGTAGAGTCTATGGCTGCAAGAGAAACTGTGTTTTTTGCTAGACAAATTGGGTGTGATGAGATTGTGTTGGAAGGGGATTCTTTTATAATCATAAAGAGGGTTGGCGATAATTCTGAAAATTCTTCTCCTATTGACACTATTATTGCAGATGTGTAACAGATTTTTTCGTCTATTTATTTTTATTCTTTGTCCATTGTTAGATGATCAAGAAGTCGTGTGACTCACCAACTGGCTCAAAAGGCCAGATTAGATGAAAATATTAATGTTTAGGAAGAAATGACACCAGATTTTCTGATACCATCTCTTCTCTTAAATTTAACTTCTTAACAAAAATTTTATCGTTTCAATTTAAAAAAAAAAAAAAGAAAACGTGTAGCATAAATATTCATATACTTAACAAACACACACACTCACATATATATAAAGATGACGAATTTGCAGCCCCGGGTTACCGCGAAACTTGTTAGGCACAAGGCTCACTGTAATTTAAGTTGTCCGTGTTATGCACAAAGCACAGCGTAATATAAATTATTTTGAGTTTACTTATTCCTAGTACAGAAAAAATCTACCGAAGAGAGCAACGCTACGTGGATTTAAAAAGTAGACTTAAAAATTAGATTTAATAATTTCAACCATTGATTTCACTGTGGGTCTTAGCATTTATTGGGATTCACTACCTATTCAATAGTTGAGATTATTAAGTCTAGTTTTTAAGTCCATCTAACATTACTCTTACGGTAAAATCAAATTATGTGACGTTAACATGACATCATAATTTTTGTAAGTTGTCGTGTTAAAAAAAAAAGACATACCAAATACATGAGATCGTTATTGTAGAATCTAAGCATAATTAAATGTAAACAATTTTGCCTGTAGATATCATTTTCTAGTGTATATATATATATATATAACCTTTGAGGTGGAAGCTGTAGAGCTAGCAAACTAAAAAACCTGGAGAGCAAGCTGCCAAGCATAGAGAAAAATGAGTTGTTGGCTTGATACTGAGGATGAACTCGAAATCATCGACAGTACTTCCGTAGAGATGAACCTCCTCATAGGAAGAAGCCTGAGGAGCAAGAAGATAGAAAAATGAGCTGGGTGGTTGAGGTTGACGATAAACTCGAAATGATGGGCAATGCTTCTTCAAGTTCATCCCCCAAGAAACAATCTATCTACAGAGTACCAACCTTCATTGCAGATCCAAACAAGAAGGTGTACAGTCCTCATGCAGTCTCATTTGGCCCTTACCATCACGATGAGGTTCGTTTGAAACCAATGGAGTCTCACAAGGAGCGTTCTCTTCTTCATTTTCTTCAGAGAACTAAAGTTCCTCTAAAAACCATCTTCGATTCCTTCGCCCAAGTGGAACAAGAGTTGAAAGATTCATATGATTCACTTGATTCTAAGTGGCAAACTGACAACGAAGGCTTCTTGAAGCTGATGATTGTTGATGGCTGTTTCATGCTGAAAATTTTTCAGGCAGTCACTAAAACTCCGGCCGATTATGACGCCGACGATCTGATTTTCGGCAATCACGGGAAGCTCTATATCATGCCGTTTATCAAGCGGGCATGTTGATGCTTGAAAATCAATTGCCCATGCTTGTTCTTGACAAGCTTCTAGATATCAGTGGTAAAAAGGTAAATCCAGTTTTTTTTTTTTTTAAATACATGGAAAAAATGCGTCTCCTAAAATCAATTTTTTTAATCCATTAAACACACCATATTGAAAGAAGATCAATGGACTACATCATTTTTTTTTTGTGGAAAATAGTTATTGAAATTTTTGTTTGTCAAAGCATATACTATCATTATACTTCATGCTTAAGATTTATTTTTCTAGAAGCATGTCAAGAACAAACATGGGCACTTTACTAAAAAATTTTAATTTTTTTTAATCAATAAAAATAAAATAATATATTCAAATTTACTATATTGTATTCGATATTTAAAAATTCATAAAATACGAAAGGGTAAAACTTTGATAAATATAGTATAAATAAATAACAACAAACAAAAAAGAGAGGCTAATTATATTCCTTCATAACAAATGAAGCAAACTGCATAAAAGATTCTATAGTATTTCTCCACATATACGATCAAACGATTAGTCAATGATCACTCATTTAATTAAGTAACTTAGTTGTCATAATCTCTATAATTTTTTTTTAATTGGAATTTCTATAGTTTTAAAAAAATGAGTTCGACGTGTAAAAAACTTATATAGATGTATCCTAAAGTGTCCAAAGAATTCATAATTATTTAGGTACTAGGATTATACTGATTGATAGAACAAAAAATAATAGAGTGAATACAATTAAATATACTTCAAATTATTTAAAATATAGATAAGTAATATTTGAAAAAAAAAAATCCGGGGGGGGGGGGGGGGGGGGGGGGGGAAGTCTTATCACTTAGAATAATCGTACGAGTCTTTCAACTCTTATGCCACTTGACGGAAGGAATCGATAATGAATTTTAGAGGCGTTTGTCTCCTCCGAAGGAAATGAATGAGAGAACGCTGCTTGTGATACTCCATTGGCTTCAGATGAACCTCACCGTGATGGTAAGGCCCGAATGACACTGTTTGAGGTCTGTAGGCTTTGTGGTTTTGATCTGCAATGAAGGCTGGTACTCTGTAGATGCACCGTCGCCTAAGGTGGTCCATCTCTCTTGAATCATCCATCATGTATCTTGCTTCATCTTCAACCTGAATCTCCCATTCCTCCATTTTCTCTGTCCTTCAGGTTAATTTCTTGGCTTGCAAGCTAGCTAGCTCTGTACCCTTCCAACACCAAGTTTATAAAGATAGTGGATCAAAATCCAAGTAGCTTTACTCTTCTGAATAAAGGGTACAATTCAATCAAGATTTCCTACACTCCAACTCCTTACGCAGCGTTTGATACATGGTATTAGACCAAGGGAATCAAATTAATATTACTTGGTAATGCTCATTCATTTGTTTGGTTTGTGGTAATCAAAAATCATTCCCATTCCTAAGGAATAGCCGATCCCACAAAATGTGGGATTACCATTCCCAAATAAGACTGGGTATTACCCATTCCCAATGACTCGGTAATGAAACAAAATTCGTAACGACGAAAAACCTGACTATTCTCGATCACTCTGTGTCGGTTTCTCTTATCGTTGGCAGCTCCCCTCCAGACCCATGGCATTCCACCCCTTCCTTCATCCCCTCTTAGCTACTCTTCGTAAGACGACGAAGACCATCCTAGACTAGACGAGACGAGAACCGACTTTGGCCATCAATCTCAGGTTTTCTTACTCAAGTTAGTCAAAAATTGCATGTTTGTGTGTAGATTTTATTAGTTTAAATTATGATATGATTTATGCTGGGATTTGGTCAATTTGTTGGCGTTCTGGTGGAATTTGTACGTGTTCCTATTGTCTTAATCAATGAGTAATTGTGGTGCATATACAGTTAAATTTGTTTTTCATGCTTATACAGTTGACTTTGTTTGGAAAGTTATTGGGTGACCAAGCAAAATCAGTTGGATGTAGTTATGCCCGCAACCTGTTCGATGATAATCCTAAATGAGAAAGAGTTGTTTTATAGAGGGTATTTGTTGGGTCCATTTTTATTTAATTCATGATGTGAATCACAAAGAACTCGTGGATGAGTTGTTTTCCTATCTCGATCATTGATGAGTTGTTGGGGTTGCTTGTTTTTGCATTAGAATTATGCACAGCTCTGTTTATTAGCACTTTAATTTGATATGAATATAATTTACTAGACAAGTATGTGCTATATTTTTGGGGTTGTTTGTTTTTGCATTAGAATTATGTACATCTCTATTTATTAACACTTTAATTTGATTGTGTATTGACCTTATTTCAATAAAAATAGTTTGAAAAAATGGCATCTTCAAGTCAAGTGGAATCACGAGTTCCGGGTAAGAATAAGAGGAAGTGGACTGGTGATGAAGATGCTAAATTGATTGAGATCCTTTTGGAACTAGTTAACTCCGAAACACATTGCGCTGATGCAGCAGGTTTCTTGGTGAAAAATAATACACATGATGATCGTATTACCATAGTTGAAACATCTAACAAGTGATCAACATTTAGATTGAATTTAGCAAATAAAATATTTGATGAGTGGAGAGCAAGCAGACAAAGAATGTAACTTTTTGTACCTATATTTGAGAATAGTTTCGTTTGCTGGAATTTTACCTCCAATGCTATTAAGATTAAGTAAAGGGAATTTAAGAATATTTGTTTTTATTCAACTTGTTTTCGTTTTCTGTATAGACTTACTTTTCATCGATTTATTTTTTGATTCAACCTACATGTTCGGATGAGATTATTAGTTGTTTCGATAGGTTTTTTTTTTGGGTTCACACATGTGCTTTATTGAGTTCATAAAGAACTATAATTGTTCATTTGAAATGAATGACCAATTTTGAATAGTATTTTATTTTGATTTCTTTTTGTGAATTTATTTTTGAAGGAATTTGTTTTCTAATTTTTTAAAATTTATAGTGGTTTAATTTTTTTCAATGGAGTCTCATTTTTTCTAATTATAAAATGTTTTACACAATTTTTAAAGGCAATCACAATTATAAAAAAAATGTTATTAATTATTTTTAGTCACTTTGGATATTTTGCGCATTCTATTCCATTCCTAAGTTCATTCTATTCCAAAACTCATTTTATTACTATTGAAAAGCATTATCGCATACCAAACGCAGCGTACATGTTAATAGAGTGGATGCTTTGATAATAAAGGTATAACTTACTTTTATTTTAATTCAAGATACAAGAATAAAATTCCAACAAATGAAATTAAATATAAAATTACCAATAAAAGTGCAATTTGTGTGTTCATGGGAATGATAAAATTAAAACAAAACAAAGCATCAATGGAGTTTAGAAATTCTTATGAATAAATAATTGGAAGTATATTAATTAAAAAAAATAAATTTAAATTTAAAAGAAGATAAAATATGAGTAATAGATATTTAAAACATGATAAAATCTAATCATTCAAATGTTGCACTGGTGACTAAGCGATCGGACTCTTATTATGTCTGGCTCATATGATAATTCATTGGGTCCCACTTTTATTCACTTAAATTTCAAAGCTTGGATATCATGTCATCACCCAATCATTTGGCCATATTTATTATTTATATTATTTATTGTCAGTATAAGATTATCCTTTAAATATTGCCCTAAAAATCTTGCTTGGTCAGTATTACTGCAGTTGAATCCCCCCCAAAAAAAAAGTATCACTGCATTGTTTGTTCTTGTTTTTTGGTCTAATAATTGATTAATATTACCCTCATTTGCATAATTGATTAATACTAACCACAAGGTACGTAATTCAAGTGCTATCAGATATGAGTTAAAAATTTAAACGTTATAAATTTTTTCTGTCGTAAATAGTGTCATAAACTTAAAAGAAATTTTTGTATTTGAGACAGTTGTTTTTCCTGTCTCAAATAATATTTTTATAAATTCAATTTTTTTTTAAATTTATGGTAGCTACTTTTCCTATCGTATATAATATTTCATAAAACATTAAAATGTTGTTTTAGATTAAACAAATATTTTATAATTTAACGAAGAAAAACTCTAAAAGAATTTTGTATTAGACACAACTATTTTTCATGTTACAAGTAATATTTTATAAAATTACGTAGTTTAACATCAAAAGACAATTTCTAGTTCAAAGAGAAAAAAAATTAAACTCTATAAAGTCAAGTTTTTATATCAAAACTAGGGGTGTCAAAATATTACACGGCCCGTTAACACGGCATAAAATTAGTGGGTTTGAGTCTCTTTTAAGCCACTTGTTTAATAAACGAGTGGACCAGTCACGATTCGATTATAAACGAATCAGGTATTGGTGAAACCAGTTAGAAGAAGTATAAACGATATGACTCGTTTATATACCATTTACATAATTGGATAAGCCGCTTAGAAAAATATTATGGGGTCTTCTGTTAATGTATATTCTAACTTCTTTTAGTTTTTTGTTGTATATATTTATATAAATATTATTTCCATATTGTAACAATAATTTTATATTTTTTCCGATGTCCCTGAGAGAGTTGATGGTTCGGGAAGGATGTTCAACTTTTTGCATTAATTTCTTGTACTCATAGATTGTTATGTTTTATAAAAGTGCATCTTTTACATTTTGTTTAACTTGTGAATAGTTTTTTTTTTGGATATGAAAATATTGCTATATTTTTTAAAATATTGATTATATTTACTTTTGTGTTTATCTATATATTAAATTGGGTAGTTGTATGAATATAAATTAGTCTTTGATCTAATGGTACTCTTTACATTGTGAAAGCTTTGTCTTCTTGAGATCAAGGATTCAAGTCTCCTTCTCCCTTTCCCACCAAAAAATAAAATTGTATGGAGTGTATATGTGCATATGATATATAATATTAGTTACGAACGGTCCATAATAATTTTTTTTTTTTTTTTGGCGGCATCGTTGCCGTCATAAATATATCTTCTATTTTTTACGACAGTCAAATATGATATTTGAGGCCGCACTTTTGCCGCTGTAATAAAAACAAAAGTGTCAGATTTTTTGTAACAACTTATTTACGATAGGATCTTGCCGCTGTAAATATTACTTAAAACAGACCGTTGCTGATGTAAAAATCTTTTGAGACCACACTTATTATGACGAGACAATGCTGCTACAAAAAATAACTGCAAATAAATTTTTTATAACAGTAATTTTTTTTCTTCTAGCGAGAATAGAGCAAGCTTTCCTCTGAAACTGAAAGACATTCTTGATTCCTTCGCCCAACTGGAAGAAGAGTTGAAAGATTCATATGATTCACTTGATCCTAAGTGGCAAAGTGACTCAAGTGACAAAGAAGGGTTCTTGAATGTGATGATTATTGATGGCTGTTTCATGCTGGAAATTTTCCGGGCAGCCATTATAACTCCAGACGATTATCACTCCGACGATCCAATTTTCGGCAATCACGGGGAGCTAAATATCATGCCGTTTATCAAGAGGGACATGTTGATGCTGGAAAATCAACTGCCCATGCTTGTTCTTGACAAGCTTCTGGCAATTAGTAAGGTAAATCCAGTTTTTTGTTTGTTAATTTCTTTTTCATATACATATATATATATACACACACTTACGATAATAGGATAGTTTTGAAAGTTTTCCAAATTAAATTGCTTTCTTGTGCATCCATGGTGGTACTGTTCAATCATATGTATATGAATCACAATGAACACATAGGTTTTAATAGGCTAATAGTAATCCCATATAAAGTTATTCGCATTGTATGCTAATATACCATTATTGCATTCCAATAAAAAAAAAATACTACGCAATAACTCAATGCACACCCAAGGGATAGGCTAACACTCTAAAACCGACATTGGTCTCAAAGTATAGGACAGTACACGCTAGACCTTAAAAAGAAGACATGATAAACATAAATTTGAAAAACATGATAAAGTTCATACTATAGAAAAAGATATGCTTATGAATTATTTAATATATAAAGATAAGGATAATAAATTTTTTTTTTTGAAAAGATAAAATGTATTAAAATAAAGCAAGTATACACGGATAATCACCCACAAATGAACATGATAAAGTTCCTTGTGTGTCTTAATACTTAATTTCCATGTGAAATGTTTTGGAAGAACATGTGAAGTTCGCGTGCAAAACTTTCGTTTGATTTGGTTAGAGCTTAGCTTTGGTGAAGATGCAAATTAATTAACATCACCTCAAATATTCATGTAGAATGGTGACGAGTCCATCAACGAGTTGATCCATAAGTTCTGTAATCCCGACTCTCGTGACATTCCTCCACCGACGGGAAAATGCTTGCACGTACTTGATATGTTTCGGAAAAGCCTGTTCATGAAACCTTCCGTCACCATCTCCATGACCGGCATGGGCATTGGAACCGTTACCGGCACCGGCATGGATACTGGAACTATCACTAGAATCGGTACCGCCGTGGCTACTGGAACTGGTACCGGTACCGGCACTGGCACTGGCAGCGGTGCCAGCAAACAAGATAGAAGCACAGGGCTACGGAAATAAAAAAAATTAGAGCATAAAATAAAAAGTCAGAGCATCAAAGACATTTCATTTGAAGGAGGAGTACTGAGCCTCCCCACCTTCGTAATCGACATTTTTGAACATGATAGCTTTTGAACACTGCCATGTCGGCGCCGGCCTTGAGGTGACCTCATATATCCGGTTCATGGACAACCTCATCGACACCTCTTCTGACGTTCTTCAGTCCAAAAGGATCGTTCAAAATTTCATCGGAAGTGACAAAGGTGCAGCGAATCTGTTCAACACAAGCTCTAAGAACTTGACGATAGATCCGGCGAGTAAGCTGGGTTGGTGAATTTGGCGATGAGTCGGTACTACGAAAAGCAGCGGAACAGGTGGCGAGCCAATCTGATACATACTTACTTCCCCAATCCATGGACTCTTATCTCCGTGGTGGCCGCCGGTGTTCTTTTTGATCTCACCAAAGCTCAGACTGCCTACGGCACATTGCAATACTACCAAGGCTATGGGGGAGAAGTGAGGATTATTACCCACGCACACTTTAATTTATTGAACTAATAAATCACTGTTATCGCTTGATTTAGTGCTGTTTTTGGACCAAAATTTTTCAGTTTATGTTAAATTTTGGTGGAATAAAAATTTTAAGTGTTTTAAATCAATTTGATACTCGTTTTAAATTTTGGTTCTAAATTGCGTAAATGTTATACATCGTGGTTCAATCATATTGTCCAATTTGTTAGTAATATTGCATTACACAAAATTGTAAGTCCCTTTCATGCGTTGCCCAAAAAGTTCTTACGTGCGAGGAAAAGAACAATGTGACATAGAGTTAAAAAATAGAATTAATAATTATAATAATTAATTTTATTATAGATCTTAGTACTTATTTGGATCTATTATTTATTCAATGATTATAATTATGAAATTTATTTTTTAAATTCATGTCTCTCTCTCATACAGAGACAATTACTTTTGAGTTGATATAATCCTAATAAAAAAGTAATTAATATTGTTGAATCATGTTAACTAACAACATTGATATGTCAAAATATTGAATTATCCTTCCGAAAACAACAACAAGATCCGAACAACATGGCCATCCTAAAGTTAATTATGTGCATCTTAAAGTTAATTTTATTTTTAGTTTAATAGTTAGGGATGTCTAAACTAACTTATGTGCACCTTAATGCTCCGTTTGATACGATAAAAAAGTGAGAGGATAGAAAGTTAGAAGGATAAATAAAAACATCATATTTGGTAAGGAAAGAAAGTAAAAAAGATAGAAAAGTTGATGGATTAACTTTCCTTCCATCTCACCAAAATCAATCCCTTCAAAATCGGAAGGAAAGTGGATAGAAAATGAATTATTTGTGTTGAGATATATCTTATTTGTTTATTATATTTTTTTATATATACATATATTA